GTGCCGCTACAATAAAAAAAAAAAAAAAACGAGGACAAACGCACCCAACGAAACTGTCGGAAACGTGCAAACAACGTGCATGGATGAATGGATTGATATAGCTGTACCCTTTATATTGGGCAGCGGCTAACGCCCCCTAGCCGCAATACTTCGTGAACCAACAACAAGATTTATCTTTTTTTTTCTTTAAATAGTGAAATTGAGGACTGGTACTTTGCAGTGAAGGGTCTATTTTCACACGTGCTTTGATTTTAGCCACCGATCAGATAACCTCCTTCTAATTAATTCGACCCGCTTAAAGTATATTTTGCCCTCCCTGTCCCTAAACCTCAGTGCTTTGAAAAACTCTGCACCATCATCTTGAACTATAGGGTGAAGCCCTAAACAGAACATTTCCAAGTGTTTGGCAGTTTCCTTCTCCTATCCACACGCGCTGCATACCGTGTCCACACCTTCGAGTTTGGCCTGATATGTCTTGGTTCACAATACTCCCGCCCTGGCCTCAAAGAGTAGAGAACTACCCCGAGTATTATCATAGATTCTTTCCTTGACAATTCCTGCTTAAAAGTTCGATAGATCTCTAGTGCCGACTTCTTAATCATGCCAATTCTCCACATATCGGTCTCCACTTCCTTCACCTTCTTCTTAACCGACAGCTTTTTTTGGTTTGGCTCCCTGCTATTTTCTAAGTATTTATCCGTCAATTTTCTCGTTCGCTTCCTCCATTTTGTATCGACATTCTTCATGTACAAGTAGCTGAAAACCTTCCTTGCCCAACGCTCCTCCCCCACTTCTCTCAATCGCTTCTCAAATTTTATCTTGCTGCTAGCTTCCCTGCCCTCAAATGATGTCCATCCCATATCACCTTGTACTCCCTGAATTGGTGTATTCCCGTGAGCTCCTAAGGCAAGCCTACCTATTCCACGTTGCTTAATTTCTAATCCTGCTTGAACTTCTGATCTCATGCACAAGACTGCATTGCTGAACATCAGACCAAGAACCATGACCCCTTTCCATATTCCTCTCACATCATACCTATTGTAATTCCACAGTGCCCTGTTTTTCATTACCGCTGCATTCCTGTTACCTTTAGTCGTCACGTATATTTCGTGTTCCCTTAGGTACTTTGCCCCATTGCTTATCCATACGCCTAGATATTTGTATTTATCTGTTATCTCTAGCGTGACCTCCTGTATTCTAAGCTCACTACCTTCATTATAATAAAAAATCATGACTGCTGATTTTCTCTTACTGAATCTGAAATCTAACTTATCTCCCTCATTACCGCAGATTTCCATAAATCAGCAAATCTTCCTTGTTGTCGGCCATTAGCACTATATCATCTACGTACATCAATGTTGGTAGTGCCTGTTCAATGAGTTTTCCTTGTTTGACGAAAGAGAGGTTGAAGCCAAGTTACTACCCCTAATTTGGCTTCTAATCCTTCTAGGTACCTTATGAATAACAAGGGTGACAGAGGACACCCCTGCCTAAGCCCCCGTTTTATCTCTGTGGGCTCAAATACCTGTTTTTTCCATTTTATAGCTACCTTGTTACTTTTCTAAGATATCGTTTAAGAGCTTAGCGACTTCATCCTCCACACCTAGTGTGTCCAGTATTCCCCACAAGACCTCTTGAACCACCCGCGCTATTGTACACTCCCTTGATATCCAAAAATGCTAGTCGCAGGGGCCTGTGTTCCTTCTCTGCTATTTCGATGCACTGCGTCAGTGAAAACAGATTGTCTTCCAACCTCCTTTGTTTTCGAAACCCATTCTACAGTTCTCCCCGCACCCCCTCATCCTCTATCCATACCTGCAGTCTATCCTTAACAATCTGCATCACCAGCCTGTAAACCACTGATGTCACTGGTATATGACAATGGTTGTTTATGTCAGTTTTGTCCCCCTTTCCTTTATAGATCATGCTCATTCTGCTAAGTTTCCATCCATCAGGGACTTCACCATCGATTATTGTTTTGCTCACTGCCTCTAGTCTGCTTAGACTTGGGATCTAATTCCTTTGTCAGCGCAATTGGGATACCGTCAGGTCCTGTTGATGGACTAGTAGGAATCCTCTTCTCAGCCCTTTCCCACTCTCGTGAAAATGGAGCCACTCCATGGAGCAACTCTATGAAATGAAGCAAGGCTATGCTAAAGACGATGGCTATGACTGCATCTCTGCTGCTACCTTCTGCCCCGAGAAAGGAGGAGCGTCTCCATGCGAAGAGAAGCAGATCTGCATTAGAGAGAGAGCCAACTCTCTGCGACAGCTTTTTTTTTTTTTTCCACTCTCTCGGTGTGCGGCTTTGAAAGGAAAAGGGTCTCTACGTGCAGAGACGGAAAAGGGAGAAGCGGGCACGAGGGCATCACAGATCGGCATTTGAGAGAGAGCAAACAATCCGCCACAGTCTTTTCTTTCTTTTTTCTAATCCTTCTTCACGCGCAGCGTTGAGAGGTGCTGACATGGGATTGGGCATGGTGCTGAGAGCATTTTCGGAGCGCGGTATGTTCGACTTAACCGTAGAATTACAGGGCGTTTTCACCCATTGGAATTCGCCTAGCTTTGACGGGACCTCACCCTGAGTTCAAATTAACCAGCAGTTCGAATTAGGTGTGTTCGAATTAATGAGATTCGACTGTGTCCATTTTCCGTCGCACGCGTGGTCGCGTAGCGGTAGATTGAGCTGCGAGGCGGTTTGTTTCTTTGCATGCTTTATAGGTGTGCGCCCATCTGAGCATATCTTGCCACAAACTGTTATAATCGATATAACAAAACAATTGTGGCTTTCCTTAAACTTCGTTATAGCAAGGTTTTAGTGTATATACTTTTTTTTTGCTTTCTTCCAAACTCAACCACGAGCCGATGGATGCGTGTCGTACACGCCTCAACATGTCCTCTTTTGCCTCACTACATTCGCGACGCCACCAATGTGGAGAGCTGCGTGTCGAGCAGAGGTATCGACAAGCAGGACTCCGCCGCAGCAAGCTTTCTTCCAGTGTGCACCCACCTTTAGCAAAATACTTAAATGTTTGAATATTCGCACACTATTAGAACATATTTACTTTTGCCAATATTTGAAACCTTTTTCTCCTTACTTGCATGTTTTTTTTTTCTTGCATCTTCTTAGAAAAATGTCACACAAGTCCTGCATTGAAAGTGCTACTTTTAAATATTCTACTTTTACATATTCTTTTACCTATCTACTTCTATATATTCTATTTTACATTTACATATTCTACATATTCTAGAGTTAATGTATTACACCTGTGCCACTTGGGCACAAGGAATGACATTCAGCATTTAAGACTTAATTACATGGATGTGATTTTGTTTAGCCAAGCTGCCACACATCTAAACTTAATGGCATTTGACCTGACAATGTCAATAAGTGACTTTTGAAATCAACAATTTTAGGGTAATAAAGTATAAGCATGCATTTTAACAACTCTAACCTGTTTTCAAGAAGAGTGAAATGTAAACATAAGCCATTATATTGCAATTAGCGTAAGTTCGTTCTTGTCTTTACAGCATGTCAACTGGCCAAAGCAACTTCGGCCATTGCATGCTGAATCCGAAGCCTAGAATTTGACATGGCACCTGTCATGTAGAAACAGTTGCAATTTCGATGAGAATTTCTGTATGGTACAACAAGACAATATAGCATGCTTTTCATCAAAAGCCATGTTTAAGAAATTTCTGACATGATAGACGCTATTTTGAAGGGACACTAAAGGCAAATATCAAGTCAACATTGATTGTTGAAATAGCAGTCCTGAAACCTCCTAGAGCTTAATTTGTACCAAGGAAATGCTTATTTTGAAATAAAATCACATTTTAGTGGTCCGCATCACATTAGTGCACTAAAAATCAACCGCCGAAAAGCGGTCTTTCTGATGTCACTGTAGCCGTGCCGAACATTGCCTGTTATTACTGTGCGGCCGCCGACACCAGCAGCAACAGAGCGAAAGTAACAGGAGTCACAGCAGCAACAACGACCATTGAACAATATTCTGCGTGCCGGTTCAGCTGGGCCCCAATAGATGGCACCACATATTCAGCTTAACTACGTAAAAACAGAACTATTTTAACCCTTTAGTTCTTTTTTCTACACAAACATAAACAGACAAGTAGCATGTGTTGTACTGCATAGAAGGGTCTTTTTTTTATTACTAGCAATTATTTGTAGCCGGATGCTCTCATGTCATTGGGATAGTTTCAAAAATGTCCCACTTGTGGAGCATGTGGTACTGTACACTAACGTCAATTTCTCGATAAGTGCAGCATTGCTGTTGATAATATTGATGCTTTAGGCATTCCCAAACGTTGATCTTTTACTCTGATGGAAATTGTTATTTGCCTTCAGTGTCCCTTCAAATGTCTTATGTGCACTTGACAGAGTAAGCTTTGGCCTCGAGAGTACGTATTTCTATGTCGAGTGAGTTTTAGCGAAAGCATTAGGTGACAAATCGCATAATTGCATTAAGAAAAACCACATTACACCCTTATATCTTAAGGCATGAGGAATTTAATGCCATTTTTTGAGCCCGTGTGACATGTGTATAATTCTTGTTTTCTCAGAATCTGACAAGCCCACAAACTTTCAAACCATACTGAATGTTATCCATTTGGTTATTAGCCCAAATATTAATGCAGAAACATAATATGTACACTACTATACTTTTCAATTTGTCAAACTCTGCCCCTCTGCTTTTTTTGTTTGTTTCAACGAGTGTGACTCTGCAGCTGAAAAAAACATGTGGCTTCTTGGTCGTATGGTTACTATCAATAAATAAATAAATAAATACATCCCCACAAAGCTCCAGTAAGTTATACTAGGCCTTCCAGACATTTTTGCAGCATACAATAGAAGCATGCATAGACTGTGTGCAAACATAAGTCAAAGAATATACATCATGAATGCATAGCAAGTATAGTGAAACAAAGCAAGTATAATGAAGGGAAAAAAGGAAAGAATAGAAAAGAAGAAATGCACTAACTTCAACACATGGCGTTCCAGGCCAGCCTTGCTTAGGAAGAGCTGCTCGCAGTGAACACACAGGAACGTCTCACGTGCTTGTTGGTGTATCTGCATGCATATCACACATTTTATTGCAATAGCAATTGTATGGACACTCTCAGCTGAATTTTGCCGCCAGCATCACCGTCATTAATCGTATATGTATACATATTTATATATATATATGAAAACGCAAGACAAAAAAGAAAAATAATTCAGAAAAAGACTCTGGCACGTGGAACTGAACATCCTACCTCTTATTTGTAAGTGCGAGACGTTAGCCACTGAGCCACGAAAGAGCACCTCCTTCAACGTTGAAACGCAAAGCTATTTAAAGCTATTTCTGTTTACCACTTACTACTGCAGATGCCCATCTCGGGGGAACTATCATGTTTTCAGCATTACCAGTGAGATGGCCCAATGAGCGCATTGCCAGATTGTGGGTGCAGAGTACCAATTCTCAATCCCGATTTCGTCACAATACCGCGGAAACGAGAGCCCTTAAGAGCCACTAGGCAATATACTATAGCGATTCTACTGAGTGTCAGCTGAAGTACCCCAGCCTTAATACTTCCAGCACAAAAAAATAAAACTGTTAAAAAAAAAAAAAAAAGCTTTGTGAGCAGCTGAATTGTGTGCCTGCGGAAAACAAAACGTGCTTCACTGCAACACAGTGGCAACGCGCGAGCCGCATGTCTCATCTCGCGACGTCAGCACATCAATATTTACCTATTCTTTCTGAGAATATAAACAAATTAATAAAAGACATTCTGACGGGAATTCGCGATATATGCGAACCTCCAAGAGCCAGTTGCTCCAGCAATTTGCACAGTTGCACTGCTGTCGAAGTTCTTGCCTGGTTTACCTACTTCGGAAACTCGATTCGAAAGTTTCAATAATCATGTTTTCCAGCCAAAATAGTGGAAATTTCATCACATTGTCTATTATTAAATTCTTTATTTTACTAGAAAAAATTCGCAAATTGTCGCATAATGACGTGCTGATGCAGCGAGGAGCAGGTGACACGCTGCCCTTCTGCGACTGCTCTACTGCAGTGAAGAAGTCTTAGTTTTTGCAGGCGTGCATTTCGGTTGATCACAATGATTATTACTATTATTATCTTTCTTTTCTTCGACTGCAGCAATGAGTCTTAGCATTCCCCTTGTTTGTGGGAAAACTGTGACTTGTATTGCTGGAAAACGTAACCCTTGGAGCCGCAAATAAGCCAGCACAGCAAACGACCAGCCCTCATTATACTTTCAAGTTCCTTGAATCCATTTTTGTATGCTCTATTAATTCCAAAACACACTTAATTAGCAGTTTTGTCACAGTCCCAGTGACGTTGAATAAACGAGGTTTTACTGTAAAAGCAAAATGACAAACGGACACAGTTACAAACATTGACAGGTACAAGCTTTTAACAGACAATTATTTTTCGTCGCTCTTTAATATGTAAGCATTGACAGATATGCCCAAGCAAAGGTGGTCACATGGTCGTGAATGAACCGATTATAACAAGGCATGCAAAAATTTCCACTATAAATAATGAAATGGACGTGCTGGTTATGTAAGCTTTGCCTCTTACAGATATATAAAAAAGCCTTAATCAGTTCGAAAGCTGCACTGTCACTGCTCTTGCCTAATGCCTCAATCTTTCGGAAAAAAGGCGCACACATGCAAGCTTGACAATGCCCGGGCAAGTGCACATTCCTGTTATTTCTAGCTGACAGTTCATGTTCTCTTGCATTATCATTGAGGCAGCGCTTTACTTGGCCTCTGCAAGATTTCCCGCACAGTAGGGAAATTTGAAGAAGACGCCAGTCGCACATCTTTCATACGCTAAATAGTGTTTTATTCCGCACCCAGTACCAAATTTCTTCTTACCAGAAGGAATTCTGAAGCAAGGCCTAGCTAATATTCAAGGGGCAAAAAAGACAATGGGCATGCCATGCCTACTCGTTATCTTTGCCAAACATGTGATGCATATACAGCATCACTTCTGGACGCCTCCTAGGATGCAAGCTTGGTGGGAACGGACTGCTTTCTCTTCATGCAGAAGAGTTTTTGTGATAATCTTAACTACCATGCAAGGATACCTGGCAGTAAATAAACGCTACACCAGATCATTAAAACTTTCTTGCGCTGTATGTGGACATGACTTCGTGAGAGCTTTCACACTACAAAAAATTTTAAAAATCTATTTCTTAAAAATTCCACTTTAGGTTTCTGTAACACCCTTTCCGATTCTAAAAATCTACTGTTACTGAGACTTATGCAGAAAAGGCATAACGAATTTGTCGCATCAGCCTGAGTGACAAAAATTACTGCAAAAATTGCAATTGCAAAAAAATGCATTTTTAAAATTTTGTAGCTCCACAACAGTGCAGCAAGCTCCACCGTTTTGGTCTTGTTGGGAAAAGGCATTTCTTAGCCTTTAAGTTTCCTGCATCAGCTAGGACTTCTATTCATGAACAAAAGTAGAAAAAGCAAATGTTAGCATTTTGTTTCGAAGCGTCTTATTGGCCGCGTCCACAATGTTGCTCCAGCACACCTCACCATTAGAGCGAATCCTTGCTCTAGGAGAGCTTCGTCTGCTGCTTGGGCGTTGCGAGGACATCACTTTCGAAAATCTCCCTACTTAAGGAGACGTTCCTACTCAACCTTTGTTCATGGGTCAACAATCATGCAGAAAATAATTACGTCTAAAGTTAGCAGCTGCAAGTGGAAGCTCTATACTCGAATTACGATAGTGCGCCACGCTCATCGTGAACGTAGCAGACGCACGTCTTGGACAGACTCGAGGTTAGGGGTCCTGCTCATCACCACTTTGGACCCCGTGATGGAGACTGTCAAGGACCAGATCTTTTTACTCCCAATAGAGCATAACATATGTACTTTCAAACACAGAGCACCACAGCTCTGCACATTGTGACTGACCTTACTTCTCAGAGTAGTGGCTACACCTAACTCCACACAAGGCACCGTAATGTATGAGATGACTTTGAGGTTCACAGGCCATCACACTAGCATGCATGCTAAAGAGGGGGGGGGGGGCCACCGCAAGGTGCTTTGTCGCAAGCAACAAGTGGCATCACCCGCCGGCTCCTCGAGACAAAGATTGGGCATCTTGTACATGGGCAGTGGACCTCCCGGCCAAGCTCTGTGCGGAGCATGTCGCGCAGCAAACACTTGAAGCACTGGTGCAAGCGGCTGAATTTCGCTCGTGGGTGCCCCAAAGCGCAAAACTAAGCATGCTGAATAAAGATTTTTCATGGTTTTATTTATTTTCATTTATTATGAACAATTATCACTTTTTTTTCTGGAAGTTTGAATACTTTGAATAATAAAATTACGGTGCAAATAGAATAGCGAACACTATAAGAAAAATATTCATAAATTTGAATATTCTCACATTTGTAGTAATTTTTGCGTTAAAGTTAGAATTGTTCTCATATATCCCCACTGCTATTTCAATTCTTCGTCGTGCTGTGAGTTTTTATCAGTCACATTGTACTCTTTTTATCAGAGCTGTGCGGTTCGCAAAATTTTGGATATGAGGCGAATTCGAATGATATACCGTATTTTTTGGTGTATAAGTCGTGTTTATTTTCTGAATTTTTCGTTGGCGCGACTTACACAATGGTGCGACTTATATACAGTCAAAATCGGATCAGATGCCGCGGATTTGGCGGCCTGGATTAGATTTGGCGGCCTGGATTAGTAGAGGTATTTAAAATTATAATTAATGGAAGGCAAGTTTGCATTTCAGACAAGAGCCACTTCGTTTGCCGTCACGTTTGCCCGCCCGCCATAGCAATCGCGGTTGATGATATTGTGCATCGTAGCGTAGGCATAGCGGCATTGTCGCAGCATCCTTGCTAACCATGGTGCCACATGGAAAGCAAGCCGGCGAAGTTTCGATGGGAAATTCAAGCTGCGTGCAGTTGAAGTTACAGAAGAACATGGAAATTGTGCTGCAGCGAGAAAATTCGATGTCGCCGAAAAAGTAATCCGGGACTGGCACAAGGCTCACAGCATCCTCCAGGCAATGAAGTCTACAAAGAAGGCCAACTGCGGGGCAAGAAGGCACGCTGGCCGGACTTTGAATGTAGCCTGCGAACGTGGGTGCTACAACAGCAAGCCGAAAGAAGAGGCCTGTCTACAGTGCAGCTGCACCTCATCTGAAAGCGAAGGCTCTGGCAGCGGAGACTAACACTGAGGGGTTTAGCGGTGGTTCATCGTGGTGGTTCCGTTTTATGCGGCGGAATCAGCTTCTCATGCAAGCCTCGACTACAGTGAGCCAGAAGCTCCCTGATGACTTTTAAGCGCAGCTGGAACACTTCAGCTCATTCGTGAGGGAGGAAATTGCGAACAACGTCAGCGCGAGTCACATCGTCAACATGGATGAAGTGCCATCGACCTTTGACATCCCACTCGGGAGAAGTGTCACTGAGAAAAGCCAAAAAACTGTGACCGTGAGGACAACTGGCCACGAAAAATCCCACTTCACCGCTGTGCTCGCCTGCTGCACAGACGGCACCAAGTTGCCTCCCATGCTTACATTTAAGCGGAAAACCTTGCCAAAGGATATCTTCCCTCCTACAGTGGTGGTTCAGGCGAACGCGAAGGGTTGGATGGACGAGGAAATGATGGGTGTGTGGCTTGACCGCTGTTTTTCACGTTGACCCGACGGATTCTTTCACGTGAAGCCAGGAATGCTGGTGATGAACAGTATGCATGCTCATATCACCGACGTCGTAAAAAAAGAGATCAGTTCGAAACATTGTGTGCCTGTAATCACTCCCAGTGGCATGACCAAGTTGCTTCAGCCGCTCGACATATCTGTCAACTGCAGCTTCAAGGCCGTTCTGCGACATTTGTGGGAGTCAAGGATGTAGGAGTGAGAGCATAGCTTCACTAAAACGGGTCGCATGAGACGTGCCGAGTTTGGCGAAGTGGCGAAATGGGTGAGTAAAGCCTGGCATCCATTTCTGACAAGACGATTGTGGCGGGCTTTCGCAAGGCTGGGTTGAACCCCTGTGTGGCCAATGTTCAGTCGGATTCGAGAGAGTCGGAGGACGACAGTGACGGGCCAGCAAGCTACAACCCCAAATAGCTGCTCTGTTTGTGAGCGACTCGGAGGAAGACGACTTCGATGGTTTTGATTTATTGGAATAATAAAAATAGGTTTAACTGGAAATATTGCTTTTACGTTTGTTGGGAGGTGCTCACACGCGTCTGCCAACAGCTGGAAGCTTGCAACAGCGGCCGGCCGCCTCAAGCATGCATTTTCGTCATGCTTTCTTAAAACGCAACATTCGTTGGCCTTATAAGCAGGTGTGACTTGTACACCAATGCAACTTATACACCAGTGCGACTTATTCACCGGTGCGACTTATATATGTTTTTTTCCCAGAAAAACTGCCATTTTGAGGGGGGTGCAACTTATACAAAGGTGTGACTTATAGACCAAAAAATACGGAAGTTTAAGTGCCGATTGAATCAAATTGTTTTCGAATACTTTAAAGCAAAATTACAGAAAAAAGTTGCAGGTGCTCCCTAGACATATTACAAATTATATTTATAGAAATTATAGCTTCGCAAGGTCGCGACCGGGTGCCTCCATGTTGGGCTCATCAGAAGGAGCCTTTCTCCGCTTTGGAATTTCCCGCCTTAGCTAGGCCCTCCATTGAGCAACAAGTGTACCAGAAAGAAATCTTTTAAAGTTCGTGTTGTCATTTGGCCAATCCTGGCTCTGGGAGACCATCGTCTGCAACTTGTGTGTTGCAAGGTCACGAATGTCAGCAATACTTAGTAATGTATTGCACTTGCTCTGTGTGCATGGCTCAGCAATCACTTAGAGTATAACGACGCTTTAGTTTGGCACCTGGAAGCAGAGCCTCAAATATCAGATTTTGACGGCACCCCGCGCTCGTCCCAGAGAATGCAGACATGTGTCTATGCTCTGTTTGTAAGCACTTCAAACCTCGTGACTAATACCGTCGCAGAATAACTCTTTGTATTTGCAATCAAGATTGATGTACTTTGAAATGCAAAACACCGCAGCCACACACACCGCGACCGAGATCACTGCTCAGAGTCGTGGCTGGGTCTAACACCGCTCACGGTGCTGTTCACAACACAAATCCAAACATTGCACACAAAGACATCACGCTAGTGGACATGCGAAAGCAAAGAAGCTGGAATGTGCTTCAATGAATGCATCAATGGCCTTGCCTCCTGGCCCAACTTGAACTGCAGCAACTGCTCGGAGCACTGGTGGAAGAAACTTGCAGTTTCACACATTGGTGCCCAAAAACGCATGGCCAAGCATGCTGCGCACCGATTTTCTATTATCAAAACTGTCATATTTATTTTCGGGAAGTTTGAATATGAAAAGTATAAATAGCTAAACTCGGGTTATAACTGAATTGAGTAGCAGACACTATCGTAAATATTTTCGAAAGTTTGAATATTTGTACACACATTTTTTCTTTCATTGTGCCATATTGGATTCATTAAGCATCCCCACTCCCCTTTGTAATGTGCTAAAGCCCCAAGGGTATAACATATAAATAAACAAATAAATATAAAGAAGTGTGATTTCATTTTGGATGTATTCAATATCTGATGATGTCTTCACAAACCACTATTCGTGTGCCACTATTTTCAAGTCTGCACTGCAACTATATGCACTGCAACTATGACAACTTGGACATGGCGGGCAACTCACCACGCTATGTTCCTGCAGCCTTTCTTGGGTCGTGAAACTACGGTTGCACTCTTTGCACTCAAAGTTGTGTGTCTGCTGGTGACGCACAAAGGATGCCTGGCGGATGAAGCCACGGCTGCAGTTCTTGCACTGGAACGGCCATTCAGACTCCGGCCTGGGTTCCGCACAGAACGACTTGAATTTCGATTTCCCTCGGAGAGCAGACAAGTGTCTCAGAACAAGTGAAGAGTACCATAACCAGCTCAAATAAGCAGAACAGCTCCTCAGGAGACAACCCAAAAGAAATCAAGCCGCTTGATTACGGGGAAAACATGTGCAATTCATAGCATTAAATTAGTGACCGAGAATTGTTCTGGTTGAAATTGGGTGTAAAGAGACTTCTATTATATGCGAAGGTAGTTTGCTTGTTTCTATTTTTCTTACTGTCAGTATCTGACGTCAACCACCATCTTTTTCATGAAAAATCAGCTGTGCCTTTAGTTTCTACATTCTTGTAGTTCTAATGTTATTTCCCCTTTAGATTGCTGCTTTGAACCCTTAAAACAGAACATGCTTGAATTGAACATACGCTGCTAAGTGATCCTATTGTGCACTCTAACATTTTTAATATCTTGTTCAATTAGATTATACAATGATTCAACTGATTTCATCAGTTCTGTTGGTGTTCGATTAGCGTGAGTAAACTGTATACTGTCATGTTCAGGCATTACACACTTATTGTTGCAGGTGTTTTGTTTTTAAGCACTGTGTTTGAGACTGTGTTTCATTATCTCGCAGCACATGCGCTTGTCGTTGCTGGAAGAAAAAAACTTATGTAAACATTTTTTGCAGAAGGAAGCAAGACATGCAGACATGGATGTAAGAAAGGGAAATATACAAAGTGTCTACATGTCTTACTACATTTTGCAATCAATCCCTACCGACCATGGCTCAATTTTCTTCAGAGTAAATTTTCTAAAGTTAGTTTTTTTTTGTTTCAAATATGTTGTTCACAAAACACTTGTGTAAGCAAACCGCTCATGAATGTGCTCATGCCTGCAATTCAAAGGCCTTCGAAGTCCTTATCTAGTTTCATGCAACTCTATCCAATTTGGCAAGCTGACCCTAACCACTTTAAGGCACACCTCAACGACGAGCGAAGACTTGAAGCCACTGAATTAAAATACCGGTGCGCCAAAGGCATTAACGTTCTGGAAGTTTAACGGACTCAAACTGATGCATGTGGTATTGGTTTTAACCAGATGATTACCCATTTTACAATTAGATGCCAATGTGGAGGAAACAGAATGGTCAAACTACCAGGCTAAATCCAGTGCTCACTTGTGTTTCCACTTATGCAGCAGGCACTCAGAGCTAGAGCTGTATGTCTTCTTGCAGATCTTGCAACCGTACATTGTTCTGACAGGCTTGTTGGAGTTGACTCGTGAATGACTCATGGCCTTGTGTAGCTGTAGAACTTCCGTGTTGCTAAACCAACCCCCGCAAGACGGACACAGCAGTCCTGAAACCATGTTGGGAGAGGCCACTTCAGGTTTTGAGGAAGGCCTGTTGCTGCCATCGCCGTTGCTGGAACCTGCGCATGGATCCAGTAATATCCAAAGCCGTCAGTGAAGTATTTCATTAAGCAAAGTTTGTTTCGCCAAAAAAACTGAGCATTACAAAAGGAATCAAACAGTGAATGAGGCAACGACAACAGTGGAAAACGAAAGGAAATCATTGAATGTCACATTTGGCAGAAACTAAGGAAATTCATATTGGTCAATTTATGTAAACACAATGCTAGACCAGATGGGTATACTGAAATGCCCATTGGTACATGTTACTGCGATGAAAACAGAGTGAAAATGGGATGATGATGATGTGCAGCATTTAATGATGCAAGGGCCATTTAATGGCAAAAGAGCGCCACATCGTAGGACAAGAGATGTGAACAATGAATATGTTGGGTGGCTGTTAAGGGGGAAGTGGATCTTAGGGCTCTCTGATTTATTTTTGAACCGAATGTGACAAAAGTTGGCATGCTTAATCAGTTTGCTCTCCATATTCTAAATATATAGTTATTTGTTCTATAGCTTTATTAATTCATTATTTAATTAGCAGAACAATGTCTATTGTCCCTACCACAATAGAAAAATAACCACCAGTCCGAAATCTAGAAATAGCATAGGGATCAACACTAGAAAGCACAAGGTCCACAACATGAGAAGCACTTTTTTGATTGGGTCCTTATTTTTTACTTTACAGTAAAAACTTCATAGCTCTGAATGAGGCCATTGTGTGGTCCCACAAAAGACCAATTTAAAAAACTTGCACCAAGAGAAATCAAAATCTGCTTCCTAAGTTGTGTGCTCCAAACATATAGCTTCATGCTGCAAAAAAAATTATTCTGCTATCTGTAATAGTTTCCGACATATTGCAGGAGCTTTCATGCATGGTGCACAAATTTACCATTTTGAGAAAATCAAGAAAACATAGAATTCTAACATTTTTAACCGTAAAAATGTATGTACTTAGAATTACATAGTCATTAACATATTTATGAATACTAAAAAGCCCAAGGAGTGCAACACTGCAAGCTGATCGATAATTGAACCAGTACTTCTCTAATTACAGCGCAATAACGTTCATTGCATGTAACTAAGAACAAAAATTTTTATAATAAAATAAAAAAATGAAGCTGCCCATCAAAAATAGGCTCTCAGCATTATTTTTTGTGCACATTTAGCTACATTGTGCAAAGACAATTCCACCTCTAGTTGTCCTAGGTCCACTTTTACCGAACAAGCAAAAGAAAGTGGTCAAAATCTGTGCTTCGAGGATAATGCTGTTAAAACTTTCTTTCACTGTTCCGAGTGAAAAATATCATGGCACACATACTTTTAGTCAGTTAATATGCACCAGGAATGTAATAGAACTGATTGTTTGCACGAGCGTGTCGTTTCTTCTAGTCCTGTAGCAAGCTGTCGCCGTGTGCTCATGTGCCGCAAGGCCGCTTATCAGTTCGGTGACTGTACTGACGACGATATGCGACGAATGTGCGCGCGTCATCTGCGTCGAATAGCACGGCGATATTTTCAGGCTTGTCCAGATTGAGTTACCCGCAAATGTCACGAACCAAACTTGCTCCCTCGCTAATCAATTTCAAGGCTACACGAGTGCCGAGGTGTTAGTTTCTTTTTTCACGTAAGACTGCTACATTTTCGAGCGGATACCACGACAACGTTGCGAACACGTCGTTAAAAGCAGTCTACCTGTTGCCAGTAGCCTCCATTGCGTGAGCGGCGAGCCTGTTCACCGCGAACGGATTGACTTTCTGTTGTTCGTCGATGCGCGGCGTACTCCATGCAGACGATTCGTCACGCATTTCAAGGTCCTTTTGTCAGGCGGGGGGAACCGCGGCATCGGCGCGTTTAGCGATAAGACTGCACTTCCGTTCCGTCACAACAAAGATTGATATCTCTAGTAGCTTCACTTTTGCGTTTTACTTGCCGTCCTCTAACTGATGAGGCTGCAAAACAGTTACGTTTTCGGCAACGAACGGGCTCGTACGTGAGTTAGGCCTACACCGGTGACTCGGCGACTGCCATTAACTGCAGCGAGTTCATTATCCTCGTTGTCCTGAGCCATAACGGGGCTCATTCTTAAGTTCACAGTGAACGAGCGATCGCCACACCCGCTTCACAAATTACTGTAGCACGGAACTTCTTTTTGCCGCAGGCAGTGAGTAGCACCATGACAAAATGGCGCATGTCCGTGCGCGTCACGATGGTGAAGCAGATGCCGGAAATGCCACTTGGCCAATCAGATGCCTAGGTTTTGTCACATGCTCCAAGCAGCCAATAGAATCGCACGAGTAAGCAAGGCGAGCCAGCGGTGGCGGGAAATTGAAGATGAAGAACGACCTTTCCAAACGAGATCAAGATGAACACGATAGCCCGTGTGTAACGGCAACAGTTTGTCGTGGAAAAAGCGCGACTTTAGCGTCAATTTGTGCTCACATTCATCTCACAGGGATGTTATAACTTGATTTTGCGCCAGAAATAATGACGCGAGAAGGTAGAAACTTCTGAAAGGGGTGCAAAAATAGGTACAGATTCTGAAAATGTCAGCTTCAATAACTCCATTTTTTTGTGACTTTTGGCCTTCTAAGACCTGTGTCCCCTCTTAAGGGCTTCAAAATTTCTCGCAATAGGGCGGTTAAAACATAGATTGATTTGATATGTGGGGTTTAACGTCCCAAAACCACTATATGATTATGAGAGACGCCGTAGTGGAGGGCTCCGGTAATTTAGACCACCTGGGGTTCTTTAACGTGCACCCAAATCTGAGCACACGGGCCTACAACATCGGTTAAAACATAGAAGTAATAAAATCATAAAAGTGACATGAAATGTATAGTGAGAATGGGCGGCAAAAGGTTCTGATAATAAAGCACGGTGGAGATATTTGACACTAGCATAAGTGCCTCTTCAGCACCCTTGTGCCCAAATGCTGCGGGACAAGTGAAAACGGGATGGTGGATGAGAATCAAACAAGACAAGCATTGAACAGTTGTGTGATTGCCACAAGCAATGCTACAAACCAGTTTGAGTGTGATAAAACTTTTAACTTTTGCTGGTCCAACGGTGTTCCCTGCGATAATTTTCGGAGTCAGCATTTTGCACACCACCCTAATATATAGGTATACACATTCACAAGATAAGACTACATGGCAAATGAGTGAAAGAGAAATTTTTTCACGGGGCTCATTTCTTTTTTCTAGAAAACCGAACCAATCCATCAGACAATTAGGTAAAAGATAGCATAAAAACCTAATTGTTGTCTTAACCGTAGTGTAGTAACATGTAAGAAAATTGAGAGAAATTAAATTGGGCAAAATGTCACCTACTTCGTTGGTCGCATAACGTAAAGAGTCACTATCTAACACAATCAAGTTGAGGTTAAGAGACCGTAGCAAGCCTTGGGAGGGCGACGAAATGAGCCTATTGTGAAAGTGAAAGAATATGACTGAAGTGGTAGTTATCTAAAGAAACTCCAATACTTCAGGTATAATATATCAGTAAAGTTGTTTACAAACCGGCAAGAACCAACATTGCTGGCTTGGCAAGCATGATAACAAAAAGGGCACTGAAATGTGGGCACTATAAACTACCAATCACTTTAGACTGAAACAGTATTCAATAAAAACTGTGTTTGTTATATGAAAGTAAAATTTACGAGACAAAATAAGGCCAAAATTTCCAGCTGCAGATACTGCACTGGAAATGCCATCGCAGTATTAATGCAAGTATCATGTTAAGAATTGCATGCAATTTTCAAGTGCGTACTAGAAACTGTGCTATCGTGCATTATATGATGACACCATGAGAGAGCCGAAACCAATGTACCAAGATTTCATTACCTAGGATTACATCGTCTACAGCTTCTTCATCGGACGCATCCGGGATATCCTCAAGATCATCGGGTAGTGGAGCATCTCTTAGTGTGCACAGCGGATTTCGCTCTCCATAAGGCACACTGATGAACACCTTCTTCTTCAGGGGCAATTCTGTTCCTGCAGAGAGACAGCACACCAGACATATCGATATGCTGTAGTTCATCACAGCTTACGAAAAATCTGCACTACGTCCACAGCCACTGCCGTCCCTCCCATCACTGGGAATAGCACGTAAATGCGACTATTCACGGTGATTGAACTGGCTTTTTACTTGTAGTTGATTTTGGAGCAGAAAAAGTATGGTGTTGAAGCTTAAGATTTTCGGAGCAGGAAAATGCTACTATGCAGCAGCTACTGGTGTTTCAGGAGCAGACTGCACAAAATGCCACACAACTCCAGACGATCAAAGCATCACCGAAGTGTCTCCTAAAATGAACATTTATTATGAAAATATTTCACAGACAAGAATGAATGTAAATTGCAAGAAACAAACAACTAAAAAGACTGCTGGTTTTTTAACACAACCCGAGTCATTTTCACATTTCACCAAAATAATCTACATGTAAAACTGAAGAGAGGAAAATGATCTAAATGCTTGACATGCCAGTTCTTGCAGCAAAAATGAGATCAGTACTGATAAAGCTGCCTACTAGCATACTAGGCTGAGAGTATACAGATTATTTTCGGTTTCCTTAGGAGCTTTCCGGATAGTCACATGGTTAAAGTCTCTCATCTTGATTTTTTATGTGCCATTTCAGACCAGGTTTGAAGCAATTACTGAAAGAAATCAGTCTAGAGCAGCATGTTGTAGCATTTCTCGATTGGGGCAGTTTGGAACAATTAGAGCAGCGCTTCTGTCACTGTATTCAATAACACTTACTTTTCTTTGTGACGTCAAGCACTTCTCAAGCATTTCAGCATGGTTGACTTTCCAAGACAGACATGTTTATGTTGCACTTTTTAGACTGGCAACATGAGAACACTTTAGTAACTTTTGTCAAGATTCTGGTATCGCTTCACAGCCACGTGGTATGATTTTGGTAGAAAAAATGAACATTTAGGTTTTAGCATGAATAGAATTTACATTAGCTGAAAAGAGGTGCTTAACCCTTTTTAACCCTTTGAGGTTCAATGATGTACATGTACGTCATCTGCCACAGCCACCAACATGTGTTTGTCAATGCCTGTATGTTTTAAAATGCATGCCTTTTTCAATTATTTCTCTTGCTAGAAATGTGCTGCCACACTGCCGAAATATGTGAAATTTTTTCTTGCGCTGATGTTTCTAAATTTTCTTTAATGCTTTACTACAGAGATGTGCCGGCTAGTTTCAGTTTAGTTCTTTGCCCGGTTCGCGTTTGTTGTGCCCTCAAAACTAATGGCTTTCTGGTTTAGAATCATTTAAGAGGTGATTAATTTGTTAATCTCCCATTAAATATGGTTGAGAGGTGGGCTAGTTTGTGATTGATCATTTTATTGTAAGATTAAGTAGCGCACTTTTTGACATGGACAACAAGAGTTAGGACACGACATTCGCTACACTCACAACTAAATAATTCATATATATTGTCACGACGTGAAAAGAACAGGATACAGGACGACGGTGCAACCAGAAAAAAGAAAACAAGGTGTGTATTAACAGAACAAAAAAGGAGCAGCCGCTTCGACGCCGTCTTCCCCTGAGGAACCGTGGTTGCTGTCCATGCTCATTAATTCGTTGTCCTCTGTCTTCCTGCCCGGCCTTTAGCCGTGACATTAGCCTCCCATTCAAGAAAGCATCGTCTCGATGCTTTATAATCAAAGTGGTTTGTATTTATTGGAAACGCGTGAGTACATTCGAAGAAATAAGACTTCATGTGCACAACTTCTAGAGCATACCTTCGACGCCTTAAGGAGTGCGCAGTATCAGGAACAGCCTCATAATTAATGTCACTGAGACGTCATAGAACTTTATAGGGCCCGAAGTATCGTTCTAACAGTTTTCCTGAGAGGCCACGGCGCCGAATGGGAGTCCATATCCAAACTTTCTCTCCTGGCTCGTATGAGACTGGTCGGTGACGAAGGTTGTACCATCTTGAATCGTAGTCCGGCTGGCGACTAATACATAGACATGCAAGTTGTTGGGCTTCTTCGCAAAGCTGGGTGATATAATCAGCATCTGTTTCGGCGTCTTCGCACTCATGCGGCAGCATAGCACACAGCATAGTGGTGACTTCACGACCATGAAAAAGGCGGAATGGCGTTGTTCTTGTTATTTCTTGATGAGCTGTGTTATAGGCGAGCGTGACATACGGCAAGATCTCGTCCCAGTTTTTATGCTCCACATCGATGTTACATGCAGAGTATATCCGCAAGTGTCTTGTTGAGACGCTCCGTAAGACTATTCGCTTGCAGATGATAAGCCGTTGTTCAACGGCGGAATGTGACACTAAGCCTTAAAAGTGTTTGTAATAGGTCGTCTGAGAATGCAGCTCCCCTGTCCGTTATTACCACTGACGGAGCGCCATGCCTGAGCACCACATTCTCTACAAAAAAATCGGGCTGCTTCACTTGCCGTGCCCCTCTCCAGAGCCTTTGTTTCGGTGTAACGAGTGAGGTAGTCGGTGGCTACTATAATCCATCTGCGACCTGCCGATGAGGTTGGAAATGGGCCCAAAAGATCCATTCCGACTTGAGCGAATGGAGTAACAGGCACGTCAATTCGCACTTTTCCAGATCAGCTAGCGCCACCGCATTGAATTTTTCGGAAGCCGGAAGAAGGTGACAGCATAGTTTCCTAATATACACTAGAGAGAACTCTGGCGCTGGTGTCTATGGGAGCTGCAACGCACGGCGCTTCATCGAGCATGGGAATGATAGGTAGTACACACATCTGTCTAATCTTCGTATTTCTGGCCTGCTTTCAGCTTCATGTGTGTTCATGTGGCTTCAAGGTGTTTTCTCACGAAACAAAAATCAGCAAATGTTCAGCGGTTGCGCTTCACCACCTTACTTTTTTAGATTTATTTTTCCAAATCGGGTCACAAAGTTCAAAAGAGTGGAATTTTTTTTTCAAAACAAGACCAAAACAGCAATAAACGAAGCTGCAAGTACGAAGACTAGGCAAATGTGTGTGCTACCCATCATTCCGATGGTTGCTGAACGATCGCAGCGACAGAGTTTCCACTAGTTAATTTTAGGAAACTCTATGGGCGATAGCAGGTTGGTGCAGGCGCGTCGTAGTCGTGCTGCGCCATGGCGAAAGACGGGCTACGAGCGAAGAGCAATCGCATGTGCAGTGTTTTATCTCCTAAATCACCCCTGTTTCTACTGCGCCCATGTCACTCGACGTTTTGCAACTAATCGTCAAAGGGAATCATAGATCTCGCCATAAACACACGTATGGCACATTGTTTACAACAGCGCTACCGCTGTTCGCTCTAAATTATCATATACCGTACAGAGTTTGCAAAACATAAGAAATACTGACTTTTATGGCGCCGGTTGCGTTGGAGACTTCAACATTTATGGCATGCGGCGGACCTGAAATTCGCCTGATTTTCAAGATGCGCACGCTTTCGGGTAGCCTCCATCCCCTTTAGTCCCGCCATATTAAAATGCTCTCCGCGCCCCCTACAGGTGCTGCAAAGTGCGAATGGGATAGAGGAGGCCTGCTGGTTTGACGGGTGGGACTTTTCTGCGCTGGCATTCAAGGCACGTCCGAACAAAAGTGTTGATTGGTCGCCGTCAGCCTTGGCCAGTAGTATTTCTGCCTCCCTCTGCACAACGTACGCGTGTAACCCAAATGGCCAGATGTTGGTTGATCGTGGCATGCCTGTAATACTTCGCTTCTTACAGATGTTGGGACGATGAGTAAGTAGTTGTTTCCATGTGGCGTGAAGTTCATCTTACACAGGACGTCGTTGCGCAAGCAAAATGATGAAAGCGCTCTCGCAAACAGTCTAGGTACCCCTGAAGTGCGACCCAACTGAAGTGCGTCAGCCAGCAGAGAGAGTGATGGTCGCTGACAACATTAAAAGGACGGCCATACAGATATGGGCGAAATTTTATAACTGCCCACACCACTGCAAGGCACTCTGAAATAATTTTCTACCGCACGTGGAAGAGTTCTGCTCGCATAAGCAAATACTCGTTCGGTGCCATCCTGCCACTGCACGAGTACAGCTCCTAAGCCGACCTTGGTGGCGTCGGTGTGCACTGTTGTCGGGGCGTCATCATCAAAGTGTGCGAAAACTGGTGGCTTCTGAAGGTGTTTCCGCAGCTCATCAAATGATTTTTGCTGTTCGTCACTCCATACGAATGTGACGTCTTCTCTGGTAAGGCGGGTCAACGGCGAGGCAATACGCGAGAAGTTCTCAATGGAGCGTCAGTAGTAAGCACACAGTCCAAAAAATTGTCTGACCGCCTTTTTGTCAGCTGGCGCTGGAAAATTCATAACAACATCTATTTTTTTTAAGGTCAGGTCGCACACCTTCACTGCTGACAAGATGCCCCAAGAACAGAAGCTCTTCGAAGCCGAAGTGGCATTTTTCCAGCTTAAGTGTTAGTCCGGCGGAACGGATAGCTTGAAATACTGAGTACAGTCAACTGATGTGTTCGTCGAATGTGGTAGAAAATACGATGTCATCTAAATACACTGAGCACGTCTGCCGATTGAGGCCTAATAGTACGGTGTCCATTAGCCGCTAAAACGTTGCCATTGCTGAGCACAAGCCGAATGGAAGTACCTTAAATTCAAAAAGGCCATTAGGTGTCACGAAAGCTGTTTTCTCCCGGTCTCTTTCATCGCCTTCTATCTGCCAATACCCACTTCTTAGATCCATCGACGACGCACATGCCATAGTCGATCAAGTGAATCATCCATACGTGGAAGTGGGTAGACATCTTTCTTTTGTCACCTGATTCTCAGCTAGCGGTAAATCACGCAGAAATGTAGGGCGCCGTTCTTTTTCTTCACTAATACAACCGGCGAAGCCCAAAGGCTTTTCAATGAATAACGTCATCTTCAAGCATCTGTAGCACCTGGTTTTCTATGGCTTCACGTTCCCGTGAAGCTACCTAGTACTGGTTTTGCCTGATGGGTCTTGTCATGTCGTCCGTTATAATTTGATGTTTCGACAGTGGTGCTTGACGGACCCTGGAAGTCGAAGAGAAACTATCTTCAAACTGGTTAATAAGCTGCAGGATACTTTGCTTCTGCGCCGGTAGAAAACTTGGGCAAATAAATACAGATAGAGGTACGGGGGGCAGATCAGTTGAATTATCTTTCTCAAGAGTTGGGCAGTCTGTCACCTCGGCGAGCTCTTCCATGTACGCGACCGCCATGCCCCTCGTTAGATGTCGGCGTTCAGAGCTGAAGTTCGTGACAAGGATGCGTACGTGTCCGCATTTTATGCTCATGACTCCTCTCGCGAAAGATAAACCATGGCTGAATAGCAGTGTTGGAATTTGCTCGGCGGTGTTTTCAGAATCGTTTGACGTGTCACATGTCACAGCCATGAGCGCACTCGACCGCAGTGGGATTGTTGTCGTCAAAGACGCGCAAAGGTTTACGTCGCTGGTCTGTACAGGGCCCATCCAAAACTTGACCTGGGGCCATACAAAACGTAATCAATCTCTCAGGAATGTTGATAACGGTGCCGTAATCACGCAGGAAGTCCATGCCCACGATAAGGTCTATGCAGCACTCTGGTAAAATTACGAAAGTAGCGACAAAATCTGAACTGCTGATATTAATTGAAGAGGTACACTTGCTCGTCGGCGTCACCAATTGACCCCCTGAGGTTCTTATGTTCGGGCCCGTCCATATTGTTCTGACTTTCTTTAGGTAGTCGGCGAGCTTACGGCTGATTATTACAGAGACGATCGCATCAACACCAGTATCTACCAGCGCTGTTACTGGGCGTCCGTCTATACAAATGCCTAGATTGGCGCTTACGATTTTCGTTGATGTCAGTGACGTCGTATTGTCCTTGGTATCGTCCATTGTACGATCCGTCGTATCGCGTCATAGTGAAGATGTTGGGGGTGTGGTAGCATCTCGAGGGGCGGCAACCTTTCCCCCAAAGGTCGATGCTGTTAGTTTCACTGATGAGGGCTAGGAAATTTGCCCCAGACCACCTCGACGCAACTGCGCTGCTGCGGCGAGTTAGGTGCAGATAAGGAGAGCGGGGTCGACGATACGACACATCGTGTGGCTGTGCTTGAAAGCTTGCACTGCTGTCAGGGCGGTAATCGAAATAAGCACGTGGGGAAGTTTGTAGAAAGATCTGATGTCTATGGTCACGGTATGGGCAAATGTGGAAAACATGGCCTGCTTCTCGGCAATGGAAGCAAAGTGGTCCACGGTCGACGGTGCGCCACAAGTCCGTCTTACGGATTAATGGTTGACTGGTGGGCATCCTTTGCGGCCAAGATGCAGATGTCCACGAAGTGTACATTGGCGACGTTTGCACAAGCACGTTATACTGTTGGTACGGCAGCGGGGGTTTAGAAGCTGGGCCCACGGCTCATTGTAAGGCCCTTGGATGACGTCGCGATAAGCCAGTGGTGATCAGTTGTATGTCCCTGGAGTGGGTCGAAGTACGGCCGATGCGTAGCTAACAGACCACTGGTCTGAGGGCGATTCGGGCAACGAAGATGCCTGGCGGAGTTCTTGTCGCACAACTTCTGCAACGAAAGCCACGGTATGTTCTTGCGGAGCCACAAGGAGGTTTCAGATCTCCTCACGAACGAACTCACGAATGAGCTCGCGCAGAGAACACTCACTGCTGGCAGTCAAAGCAGAGAGGATGACAGATGTGTTGTTTGGTTGGTCATGGTATCGGCGCTGTTGCTGCAGTGCTCGCTCGATTGTCGTAGCCTCTTCGATAAATTCTGCCACACTTGTTGGTGGGTTGTGCAGAAGACCGGCAAAGAGCTCTTCTTTGACGCCCCTCAACAAATGTCGGAGTTTTTTTACCTTCAGGCATCTCGGCGTCAGCCCGCCGAAATAAGCGGGTCATGTCCTCCGCAAACATGGCGATGCCCTTGTTCGGTTTCTGTATGAGTGCTTCCATGAGCTGCAGAGCAGAATCACGGCACTCAGTGTTTGCGAATGTACCGAGCATTTACTGCCAAAATTCATCCCACGAAGACAGCGTTGACTCGTGGTTTTCGTACCATGTACGAGCGCTGTCCGCCACAGCAAAGTAGACGCGTGATAGCTTTTGTTCAATGGGCCAGTGGTTGGCCGTGGCGACTCGCTCATACTGGGTTAACCAGTCCTCAACGTATTCATAAACGTCACCATGGAAGGTCTCGAGAATTTGAGGCTGATCAACAGTAAGCTGTGAAGGCCCTCCAGTAGCCATTTCTCCAGGCACGGTGTGTTGCTGGAGAAGTTCGAGGGGGATCACCTCGGGACTAAGGCCTCGCTGTTGGCGACTGTAGCGGTGGACAGGAGTATCCACAGCAGGAACGGGTTTCGGTGACGGACTCGAAGTGCCAAGGCGCAGAAGTGTCCCGAGCATCAGTTGGAGAAGTCCAGCACCTCCACCAATGTCGCGACGTGAAAATAACAAGATACAGGACGATGGTGCGACCAGAAAAAACAAGGTCTGTATTAACAGAACAAAAAAAGAGCAGCCGCTTTGACATCCGTCTTCCTCCAAGGAATTGAGGTTGCTGTCCACGCTCACCATTTCGTCATCCTGTCTTCCTGCCCGGCCTTTAGCCATGACAATATGCAACCAAGCTGACCCCGAGCAACACAAAAATGAAATAACGGGCACTAAAACCTTACAAAGAATCAAATTTAGAGCACTTAACAATAAAAGAATTGTGGAACATGTAGAAATGAGCCTGATAATTCATGCTTTCTTATCCCACGAAACAGGAAATAACACTGAACTGTGCATATTTTACGTTTTTTAATGTTTAGGTTTTTATTTCTTTGAAGTGTATAGGCTGCACATACTTCGTTTTTGTCGCTTGATGCACATATTGCGTTCATACTGGGAGGTCATGCAAGGAGTTATGAGTTAAGGCTCAGCCGTTCGTGAGTGGCTTCTCAAAAGCGTGCATGGCGAGACGATGCTGACTAAATATAAGAAGGCTGTTCTCCTCTCGCGTTTCTAACTAACGTGACTTTGTTCACTTATTTTTGTATCTGTGAACTACACAGATGTTTATTTTAATGCAGAATGTTCTAACAGTTATACCTTTTTTTTTTTTTACAACTATATTGCCATTATGAATAAGCCATCTGATGTAATAACAAATATGACTTCTTTTCTCACCTTACGATGACTGAAAAAAAATCTTAGGCAATTTTTTTTGTAAAATGATTTCATCTAAAAAATCTTATTCAGCAATAAAAGAAATACACATCTTTGGGACACTTGTAACGAAAAAAAAATCAACTCTCAATGCATTTAAGTTTGAGAGGAAACCAGCTTGCAAGACTGTATTTTACAGGTGACAGGTGGGTGCGAGTTCGTACTGTGGGTGCAGTTTAGTTTCCATTTCCCAACACGATACATTAAAGGCTCGTTTCACGAAAATTCTGGCATTAACGATGGCTTCCTTGGTTGTGAGCGAGAAAGCCGCTCAGTTTAAGTTTCCATCGAGAAACAAAGGCCAACCAGCGATTGAGAAGGCAATAGAGGGTGAGTGAGTGGGAGCGTTGCTGCAGATAGATATTCTGTTGAACCCCTAAAGGCAAAGCTTATGGGCCCCCCAGTTTTTATTAGGTTGTAACAGACTATCGTCACTGCTGCTCTTACCGAACTGAATGCTGCAAAAAAAGTAGGTACTACATGGTTTTTATTTTAAGTAAATGCTTTAGGCACTTTTGTATCACACTGTATCTAATGCAACACGATTTACTGGACATACCGAACTGGGCTTTTGAAGCAGATTGAAGGGAGATATGACGCACTCCGTGGTCTTGGGGACCACGAGGAGCTTCTTGGGTGAAGCGACCAAATATGAGAGAGACGAAGCCTCCGACATTAAGACCTTTGGGGAACACCAACTCCGCACAAAAAGGGTCCAAGTCAACGTTGATGTACACCCGTGTGGACATGACTGGTGTCAGATGTCAGTCAGTCAGATGCTACTGGAATGAAAAATGGAGCAGTAAGGTCGTGTTTGAGAAAAATGAAACAAATGTTGCTGGTCAACTATACAATGTTCAATGTTAACGAGGCTGTACAAATATTAAAAATATATCAGCTATAAGAACCAACTGAAAGATGTGAACTATATGACATTTTACCGCTAGGAAAGGCAATATATACAAGAAAGACATGAACATGACGAATGCCACCCATGCCATCAGGTTTAAGTCTCTTTACCATGTGTTGTCTTTCCTAGTGTCGAAATGTTGCGCAGTAAGCATCACACTCGGTCAAGAAGTTCTCGAGTGAAAGAAGAGAATCCACTTGACAAGTTCTAGAGGAAACAAGTAAAAGCAGTAACAAACATTGACATCAACCTGAAATTAGCAAATCATGAGGCTCACAGGTGCACCACTATAGCCCTTGACCTACAAACCTACGACTCGCCATCAGATGTGCTTGAGAACTGAGATAAAAATGTAAAAAAAAAGTCGTTTAACAAATATCCCAGCATGTCTTGCTATAGACAGTATTATATATATATATATATATATATATATATATATATATATATATATATATATATATATATATATATATATATATATATATATATATATATATATATATATATAAATTTGTTTTATAGTCGCTGGGTGTATCTTTTTCACTCTCTCTCACTTGCTTTATAGACACTCTTAAAATGGTCTGACAATTGCGGTTGCCTTTGCTAGTGCCCACAACCACCAGGGATACACTCGAGGCTTTTTCTCTTGAAGAAGTCAGTAAAATATCTACATTACAGAACACCAATATTTTAATTGGAAGCTGTAAAGTAGTATGTATTACGAAGATGTGCTGAAACGACTAACTGCCACTGTGCGACAGGGTCGCACCACGACGGTCACACAAACGTGACAATATTAGAGTGACAAGCATTTAGGAGAAGTTTGGTTGGGTGTCCTTGCAATGCAGTCACTTATGTAACATTGTCCAGAGACTTGACCATGTTTTACAAACTTTTGATCTACGTCAAGGCTACTCGTATTATTTTCGTTTTAAACCAACAGTGCACAACTGCTGCTTATATTGTAAGTCACGAAACTACTTGCCCGGGCATGTCGCTTCTAAAAATGACGAGGTGAGAAACAAGTACAGAGGTTAGCCAGTCAATTTTATAGATGCAAAGTTTCGGCGTCAACTCTCACTTGAAAACAGCACTCAAACGCCCCATTATCATAGTAATGAAACAGGAAAAAGTGCAATTTATAAAGCGAAAGACATAATTCATATTGAGGTTGCGACGATATAATTTTATAACGTTGCAAAGCGTACTAATAGACAAAACCACGGTCACAACCAAGATCTGTAACGATCGGAGAACGGCCTTCGCAACGAGAACGTGAACGCGTTCAACTGCTCACAACCAAATGCAATACTGGTATGATTATGAATAAGGCATTGAATAATGAAGTGTCCAGAATTACATCAAAGGTCTAGCAGCCACCATGTTGTTCTTGTTCTTGTCATTCAATGCATCCACAGAACATGGAGCATCGCCCACCATTCCAAACTTCGTTCTAAAGCAAATGAGTAAATAAAACAAAGGCGCACAGTGGTGCCAGACCGTAAAGCATTTTGGCTTGATTTGCGCGCCAAGGCAACCATACATATTGTAAAACAAGTGCATAATGCCGTCATTTCGCATGTCTAGCTAATATCGAGCTGAAACTTTCAAAAATAATGACTAAGTCACACAATAAATAGCGCTTGTTCATAAACATAATAAAACGCGGTAATTTCAATTTTACCCGGTGTCACCACGTCGACCCACGAACCCAACGCACCTTCAGTCCCGTTTCGGGGTGGGTGCGTGTGTGCAAAGCTTTACTGATGTCCGGCAAAGCGCACCTTAGTGGTCAACGGGTGGCTCCCGAGTCGGGATGGCCAAGCCAAGCCTTTGAGGTCGTGCTGGATGGCCCACTGTTGGTGGGCCCGGAGCGATTGGCGGAGGACCGCCTCCCCCTGACCGAAGTAGTATCAGCTTAATGTAGGTGTGGTGGGGTTCTTTGTAATAAGTAGACGTTGCGTCTGGGACAGCAACACTCCGAATAAAAAAAAAGGCGAGGCTGTTTCCGTTTTCTTTTCACTTTATGCGGACACACACAAAAAGGACACACGACAAGGGCGTTATATAGTGGAGACAAAACTGCAGAAGCAACAAACCAGCGTAAACTGAGTTCCAACACGTGAACGTCTCACCGGCGAGAACATCGAATGTTTGCGGGGCACGTCTGCGTAGGCACGATGCAACTCTGGCATGCCGGCACTGGGAGAGTTCGGAGAATGGCAGTGCAACGCTGAAGCAGATGCGCCGACGGAGCAGGTCGGTGCCGATAACCGTGGTTGACAAAGCCACGCAGACTTTTCGGACGCGTAGAACAGGGACCCTTGACACTTGAGGCCAAGTGAAGCAATCTACTCGGACCCTTGAGCCCTACCAGGCCCGCGGGACGAGACTACGACCGTGACCCTGACGGATCGTCGTCTTCGCTGCCGCCCCAACCGACGCCACCTGGCTTATTGTTGTTGTTGTTTTCCTCTGCACATGGCTCGTACCCAGAGGAGGGGATTGGCCGATTATAGGGTGAATCTGCCCGATACTTTCTGCATTGCTTCGTTGTTTGTTTGTTTGTTTGTTTGTTTGTTTGTTTGTTTGTTTGTTTGTTTCCCTGGACTCATGGCTCACACCCACTCAGCGGGAATTGGCCAAGAAAGCGTAGTGCATTTTTTTTTTCAATGAGCATTATAACTATGTGTAAAAATGAATTTGTAATATAGTATGACTAATGTAAGGAAAGCCACATAAAAAGAGAGCAAACGAAAAAAAATGAAAAAGTCAATTTGAGAAATTATGAAATTTCAGGTGTTGTGATTACCACTCAGCTGCGTTTACTTCCCCTCACCATTTAGATTGTTTTTTTTTTAACTTTTTAGATGCTGAATAACAATTATCTGACTGAAATTTCAATGGGATACGTTTGGACACCTGAATATAATCGCGAACGGCATTGAAAGCATCCCTGTGGCAATGTCCCAAAACTGAGGCACCAAAGTTTAGTGCAGTTTCCGCCGTCAATGTAACGCCTATTTTCAGAAATGGAATAACTAGAAGTCTTTTTCTTAGTATAGCGTATCGGTGACGACACAAAAAATAATGTTCAGTTGATTCCATTTCTCCGCAGAATGCGCAGAGGGGTGATATCGTCTGACCAGCTCCGCGTAGATACAGGTTAGGGGGGGGGGGGGGGGGCACGACATCGAAATTTAGTCAATAAAACTTCGAGCCTTTCTGGACTGACTCAGTGGGGTCACCATGGAAACTTGAGGCTGGTTATATTTGTCCATGTAGTTCCTTTTTCTATCATATCAATGCAGATTGCTGATTATCAGATATCTTAATGCTGCAATATATTCAACTTCTGGCAGTGCGGACAAAATTGGACCATCAAACGCGGACTCGTGCCAAGGAATCAGCCAGTTCATTTCATCTTAATCCACAGTGCCCTGGAACCCACAGTAACCTCAGGAGTCTCAACTGCGGTGGTACTAATGTTCTGAATGTCCTTAGAATTTAAGAGTTTTCAGAAGCTGTCAGAGCTGCACAAACTGACAGAGAATCCGTCATTATAACTGCGCTGTTTTGATTTAACGGAAGAGAAACTCGTCTTATTCTTTCTTCCCCGTCCCTTGATTGAATCGTATACGCACTAAGTGGGATAGGCCATTCTCTTCGCGTCAGTCTTGCCATAGTGATTCCACTTGACAACTTCATCGGCTATGTCCATGCCGGCGCTCTCACAGCAACAAACACAGTACCAGCGCAGTTCTCCCATCACAGTAAATAACCACACAATCAGTACTAGGGTATCGAACGTTTATCTAATACCACAATACCCGCACGGCGATAAGATTAGGAAATTTATTCAAAGCGACATTATAGTCAAACCCACTTACAACAACACTCAAGTGCCAAAAAGTTTAATTGTTATAACTGATAATTGCGATAAATTGGTTGCACAAAAAAAGCATAATAGGGAATCGCAGGTTGTTTTGAAAAAAAAACTATGATATTGGATTAGATAAGCCAATACACATCAGTGATAAGGATGACAAAACGGCCGATTTTTCAGACATGCTTGAAAAACTCGGATGCTTTCATGGGGCTGCCACCAGCCTCATATATTCAATGTATGACAACATCTGAAGTCGCGGATGCCGAAACTTTTGAAACTTCGAGATTTTTACTGAAGCTGCATGTCAGAAAGTATTTACAGCAGCCACCACCACTAACGTGCCGCGGCGGATTTCAAAAGATCGCTTTTCCCGCTGTGCAGTAAAGGACACCGTGGCTTTGAAGGGGCGCTGGGGACGTTGGAGTTGTGGGCGAGGATTCAGTAGCTTGACTTTTCCGTTTTCTCTTTTTTACTTTCAGGGACTTCGGGCTCCACTACCTCTCGTCACAGACACCCAACAGCCAGAATTTATTGTTATAAATCGATAATGCGGTATGCGGCCATTGCAGAAAGCGGGTACAAAAGTTGGCATCGCATCAGCTTCTCATTCTTATGACCGACATATTTACAAAAGTGGTGTCATTGTAAGCGGGTTAAACTGTAGTACACCATACACACTCCTAATCTGGCCCTGATTACGTCCGTATCTAGCCCTGATTACGTTCGTACGCAGAAAACCAAAATAATTGGACAAACCCTACTACTCGCCATAAATAGACAGACAGACAGACAGACAGACAGACAGACAGACAGACAGACAGACAGACAGACAGACAGACAGACAGACGGACGGACGGACGGACGGACGGACGGACGGACAGACGGACAGACGGACGGACAGACGGACGGACGGACGGACAGACGGACAGACGGACGGATAGACGGACGGATAGACGGACAGATAGATGGACAGATAGATGGACAGATAGATGGACAGATAGATGGACAGATAGATGGACAGATAGATGGACAGATAGATGCAGATAGATAGATAGATAGATAGATAGATAGATAGATAGATAGATAGATAGATAGATAGATAGATAGATAGATAGATAGATAGATAGATAGATAGGCCAGAGTCACCGAAATTCACTGAGAAATGCTTCGCATTTAATAAATAACCAGCATGTACTAGTAATATTAGTGTAGCAGCCTCTTTGACCCCTGTTGTATAACTTAACACCGCTATGCATGTGTCCCTGCTGTAATGGACCGTTCCAGAAATTGCAGCGCCGCGCCTTCCCCTGGTGGATCGGCGCTGGGGCATTATGGGAGAGCGGAGCGCCGGCGGTCGGAGCAGGCGACGCTTTCCCGCTTTCGCCTGCTTTCATGGCGCGCCGTGAGTGATTTTGGCTGGTGTAAGGAGCTGCTATTGTGAAGAAACGCTTCTTCTAATAGCTCTGACTTTCATTCGCGCATACAAGACCGTGTTGTTCGTCGCAAATAACCGTTATCATCACTGAACATGCCAAATAAGGAAAGCGGCGGACACACTTGCTCGGTTCGGGGATGTGATAATACGTGAAAGTCACTGGACGTTTCATTCATTGCTTACCCGCCATGGTGGTTTAGTGGCTAAGGCACTCGGCTGCTAGCCCGCAGGTCGCGGGGTTGAATCCCGGCCGTGGCGGCCGCGATGGCGGCGAAAATGCTTTAGGCCCATGTGCTTAAATTTCTGGAACCCTTCACTACGACGTCTCTCATAATCGCATGGCAGTTTTGGGACGTTAAGCCACAACACTTATATTATTCGTTCATTTCTTGGTGCTACTTCATCGCTTCGATGTTCGTGGTGCTGCAGCTAAGTTGGACCTTTGTTATCTGTGTCCTCACTGTGATTACGGGGCTGGGATTTTACACTTGCAGCTTACCCTGTAATTAACCACGCGAATTTATTAAGGCGAGAGGCTTAGATACTCATTTTAAACTCACAGGTCCCCTATTCACCCGCCTAAGATGATTTGATGGAGAAGGCCATCTTTTTTTTTTTCTTCTCAGTCGATGAACTGATCTTACCCCACAATTCTATGACTGTCAGCAGGGTTTTACCGTCGGTGCGAACCCGTGTTGCGTCGCGGCTGGGGGAGAGCACTGGTGTAGCTTGGGCGTAGGCAGGTGCAGGTGTAGCTTAAAAGGGGCCAACGCCCCGTTTGCACCCCCCGGCCGACGCCTCAGCCCGCCACCATTCAGACCACCCTATGAAAACTTGCAGTACCTAACGAGGTTTGCACTGCCTCAAAAAACGGAGGCAGTGCGAAACAGATTTTTCATTGTCTCCATGATGAGACCAGATTTCACCAAGCTCGGATGTCACGCGATGACGTGATCACGTGAATTCACATGATGTTTTGATGACATCAATTTTTTTGGGGGGGATGTCTGACGTCATATATGTTGTCATAACGCGGTGGTTTTTTTCGGCCACTCAACGTCGCTGATGCGTGACGCAAACGGTCGAGTTTCACGTTTGATGAGGCATCTAAAGTTTTCGCCTAAAAACAAA